GACAAGAAGGATTGGAACTGTGCTTTCTGGAAGTTGCGTGAGGAATACTCTGGCATTGAACCACCAGTAGTTCGTTCTGAAAACGATTTTGATGCACCAGCTAAGTATCATGTGTCCGCCGATGTCGAGTACTTGAGGTAGGTTTTACGGTTAAGAGCATACAATTTTTATAGAGTATACTAATTCTTGCATACCAAATGTTTGCAATTCTTTTATTGCCTCTCTCGGTAGATATTTGGTTTCGTACATCATACAATTTCAATTCTATAAGTCGACTTGCATCAAAGCTGGTCAATATGATCCCACCAATCCGGAATTGCCTTTGGACAACTGTGATATTTATGGCAGCTTTGAAGCAGGTCAAGCTTTCAAGTGAGTTTTTAAAGAATATTTAATTGTCAAGATGAGTTGCAATAAAAGTTATCGCTTGTAGAAATTTGCTTTCAATGGGTGCCTCTAAACCTTGGCCCGATGTATTGGAGGCCTTTAGTGGTGAACGTACAATCAGTGGCAAAGCCATCGCAGAATATTTCGAACCGCTCCGTATATGGTTGGAGGCGGAGAATAAGAAGAACAATGTGCATATTGGTTGGACGCTATCTGACAGTAAGTGTAAAACTTTCCTTACCTCGTTTTTGTTGTAAAAACTAACTTTTCCTTACAGAATGTGTCTCCTCTTAAACTTGGCGTGCTCTTAAGAAGATGATGCAAAAAAAAAAAACGTTTGCTTTTTGGCGTTCAGTTTGATTACTAAACAATTTCAGTTTCCTTAAATTTTGTAAAATTGATTTTAACAAAAAATCAGTATTAAAAAATAATACAAAATTAAATTTGTTTTAAATTTGGAAAATGAAAGGTTAATGGGATGGCTTATTAGGTTGATTGGGCTTTCAATTTGCTTTAATTATTGGAAATAAAGAAATATTTAAGAACAACTCGTAACAACTATATAATAATTCGTGAGATCTACACCGTTTAAAAAATAGTGAAGCCCTTATATCAATCACTATTGAGTAACGTCGAAGTAGTGAAAATATCGACATCCAGTCCAATTACCACTCAAGTAAGATACAATTATGCCGTAATATAATTATAGATGTGTAATCTGGAGGGGTCGTATCTGGCCAGGCCATTTGCGTATTGGGGTATATATTCAAACATCAAACCTACATAGTAAGTCAACACAGAGGTCAACTTCAGTTATGGTAAGAACTATTGCAGAGTACTCTACGACAATGCTCAAATAGGTTGGGCAGGAGAGATAACATAAAGAAACTACACTTGTGGACATAATATTTATAAAATTGAAGTAATTGAGTTATTTTGTTTTCACTCAATACCGTTACCGGTCTCCAATAACAGCAAATGTTCTCTCTTTAATCAAAGAGCCAATTTACAACTGCTCTGTTTGTGAAAACTAATAGTTTCACGCTCGTTTTTAATATTAAGCCAAGTCACGGAAAAATTATTGCAATATGCGTGAGCACTCAAGCAATTGCCCAGAAGGGTAATTACTATGGTCGACTTCAAGCCGGCACTCTTGGTCGTTTAGTTGGCAATTTGAAGCGTTCAAGACCGGACATACGTGTGGAAGTGATATTGACTGTGAAGCTCGGTAGTTGAACAGTTTAAGGAAAACTCAAAAACAAATAAAGCGATCAATGAAAGTGCGAGTGAGGAGTTTAAAAGCTTCGACAATATAGACGAAAAACGCAGATTGACGATAAAAAAGTTAAAGTAAATATTATTACCGTTTTATATATCACTTTTGTTGGTTTGTTGAAAGTAAAAAGTGGTTTAACAACCGCATTGTGGCGCGCAATGAATCATAATTACGTGCACGCTTGTTGAAGCAGGTAACAGAACTGCACTGCAACTTATGGCAACTACATGGACTTGAGCGTTACACCGAAAAAAAATTATTAATAATCTTAAATTTTCATTTGTGAGATTCTAATAATTTTTTATTTAATGTTAACAGTCATACATTGTTAGTAGTTTTTTGGAGGTCGACGACCGATCACAAACATTAAGCCTTTTAATGTTCACTGAAAATTTAAAACAATAATCTGCCGGCTTTGACCGTTATTATTTTTATACACTGAATAGTATATATTAACTTTGTCAAAGGGAAATTTCGGAGATCCCGTAAGGTATATATAGAAATTATCCGAGTTGAGTCGATTGGTCATATCCGTCTATCTGTCTACATATATTCAAACTACTTACCCAGCTTTTTAGATATCGATTTGAAATTTTGAACACATCCTTTTCTTTTTAACAAGCTGCTTATTTGTTGGAACCGCCGATATCAGACCACTATAGCATATAGCTGCCATACAAACTGGCCGATGGTATTTGTGAAGGGTATTATAGCTTCGATCTAACCGAAGTTAACGTTTTATCTTTTTCTTATTTATATTATTAAATATTTGCGGAATAAAATATTATTTTTGAACGGTCAAGAACAACCTGTATTATAGTAACTTTCGATAGTAAGTCTGCTGAGTAATAGAGTTTGAGTGTTATATGTATTAGTAAGTTTTTTGAATGGTTTTCATTTAATCTAACTCTAGTTTCTAGGGTTTCCTGCAGTCTAGAACAGAAATGAAAGATCTAGAAATCTAACGTAATTTTGTTCTAGAAGCCTATGTTAAATACGAGAAAGTGATTATAAAACAATACATTCTTGAGAACATGAAGTCGTTGTTATTTACTATTTTTCTGGTAAGTACTTTAAAGTAAAAAAAACTAACTCTTTCGCATTTGTATAATTTTTCTTTTGCCTCACAGCTTCATTGCCTACTAGACACGATCAACTCGGCAGAGAATTCCTCCGCTGTTTTCACGAAATTCCTTGCAAATGTTAACCAGAATCTAGCCACACTTTACAATCGTGAAGTGCTCGCCAATTGGCAACTGGAGGTAAAAGGCCCAAATGATCTGTACGCTCTATTGCAGTCAGAGTTGACCAGCGAAGAGATAATGAATTATGTGGAAAGCATAGCACCGAATTGCGCCAAGTTCAAGCGCTTAAATATTGGCAATCCTCAACAGCAACGCCAATTATCGCAGATACCCGAAAGAGGTTACGAAGCATTGTCCCCAGCGGATCTCAAATTGATGTACATTGTTACCAAAAATATGGGTGATATTTATAAGAATACGAAGCTTTGCTCTTTTCATGATCGCAAGCAATGTAATTTAACCTTAATACCAGCGGTTCAGAATATTTTGCATAATAGTAATGATGTTGCTGAAATTGAGTATTACTGGTTGGAATGGCGTCGAAAGACTGGTATGCCAGCGAAGCAAGATTTTGTGTCGTTTATTGAGTTGTACAGGAAGACAGCGCAGTTGAATGGCAAGTTTAATTGGAGTTTAAAATGTAGTAGTAAAAATCATACTCTTTTTTTGATAGGTTTCTCTAAACCATCCGAATTCTGGTACAAAGACCTTGAAGAGAATAGCGCACAAACTGCTTCACTATTGGAAAGTTTCATGCAACGCTTGCGACCGCTTTTCCAGGAACTTCATGCTCATGTCCGAGGACAATTGAGAAAGTTATACGGTGAGGAGTTGATACCTCGCGGTAAACCATATCCACAGAACCTCGCAGAGATTTTCATAGGAAATGCATTTCGTCGAGCTGATCCTGAATGGTACATAGAATTCCCTTACCCTGATGTCGGAATGCCAAACATTACTGCTGGCCTGTTGCGACGTGGTTTGAATAATGCACAGCGTGTATTCTGGAATGTGGCGGAGTACTTTCGCTCTATGGGCATGCCACAAATCGAAGAGTAAGTACTTATGCGTCACATAAAGGGTTAATGAACATTTGTAAAAATAATTGTAGCACTTTTTGGTCCCATAATGCACGTCCTAAAGCCGATTTGGATGAAGAGGATATGCGTTGTTGGCATAAAGCCTGGAAGTTTTATGGTATCGAACGTGTTAACTTCTCATATTGTCCTTTAGTAGATGAAGAAAGATTCTTCAATATGTATGAAGCGCTAACTGATGTATATTACTATCGTGCTTATGATCAACAGCCTACACTCTTTGCCGAAGAACCCTTTCCCAATTTCAGCGATGCCTTGGGGAAAATGTTTTCCTTGTCAGCTTCGTCCCCACGTTATCTGGAAAAGCTAAAACTCTTAGAACGTGGTCTGGTGTCTAAAGAACTTAGAATTAATCGACTCTATTGGCAGGTGTGTATTTTAAATGTTTATGCTCTAACAAAATATGTATCTTTTGAATTTATGGAATAGTTGTATTAATTTTTTTTTAACTACAGAGCCTACGCACAATATTTTTGATTCCCGTATTCTATGTTTTGGACCGCTATCGAGTGGATGTACTTGATGAACGCTTAAATATTTCCAATAATTGTGCCTATTGGCAGCTGACAACCGACTTAACGGGTGCAGAGCCACCTGTGAGTAGAAGCTATGAAGATTTTGATGCACCAGCAAAGTTATTGATAGAAGTGGACGATCAATATACTAGGTGAGTGTTACACTGTACTTTTCAGCATTACTTAATAATAAAATCTTAACAATATAATAATGAAAGTGGTTATCGCAATATAGTCAAATAATGAGCACAGTGCTGCAATATCAGCTCTACCAGCATTTTTGTGAAATCACAGGACAATATAAACCAAATGACGAAAATTATCCACTCGATTTATGTGATTTATCAAATCAACGCCAAATCGGACCTATAGTGATGTAAGCCCTCCAGTTTGTTTAATTATGTTATTTATTAAAGTAATTTGTTTTTATTAGGGAAGCAATGTCCTTGGGCTCATCGAAATCATACAAGGATATTCTTCAAATAATGACAAAGGAGTCATCGATAAACATGGATGGGCTGCTGGCTTATTTTCAACCTCTCTACGATTGGTTGGTAGAGAAAAATCGTTTAGATGATGTGGAAATAGGCTGGGAGTCATCAACGAGTGAGTTATTTAACCGAAAGAAACAATTTTACATGGCAATAAAATTCTTTATCATTTTCAGAGTGTTCTTAAGAAAGTGGTGCTCAAAAATTTATTTAAAAATCAAGGAATTTTTTTTGTGGTATGGAATTAAGAAATATATTATTATTATATTATAAGTCTATTATCTATTATTAGAAAAAGGACAAACGGTTTTTTTTTATAATTCAATATTGCAAGTTCATAATATAATTCATAATGTATTTGACGGACTTTGGAAGAAGTTTTCAAGTTGCTTCCATCCTCTTAAGCGGGGATGGGCTCAATTATAACAGTATTTTACTATACCTAAATGCAATTATGCAGGTATATGAATAATAAATCAATTAAATATGCTGTTGCATAAAGTAAGAATGAAAGTAATAAATTATAATATATTAACTGACTCACCCTTTAATGTTTTTTTATTTGTACAGGATTCGCTATAGTTAAGCGCACGGAATAGTGCTGAGCAAACAGCTTTCCATACTTTCAGCTATGTAGGCGGCCATTTTATGGCCTTATCATGCACTTTCCTATCTTCTTTCGTGTTTATAACACTCAAAATGAACACAAAAACAACAAAATATGTGTTGAACGATTTTGATTTCACATCAGCACTAATTAAACAAGCATAGAAACACAATTAAAACAAGCATTTTTGTTGCACTATGGGAATAGCTTCATCATGGAAAGCGGTCATTTTGTGAGCTGCTACACTTTTGGGAAATTGGACTAATTTTGAAAGCCAAAATATTTCACATTTTCATAATACAATTGAATATATTGAACACACGAATTCATTAATTGCATTTACTAAACACTAATTAAATATATTTAACACTTTAATTCACTTTTCACTTATAACAACTTCAAGGCGGAACGCGACGCATATATCAACATGCAAGTTCACCGGACGGATGCTAGTACGAAACTGAGGAAATTGACACAACGATACTGAAACTGGAAAAGGAAATTCTTTTTCACAATTTCTAGTTTAGTTAGTCAGTTCACCAACCTCATATGACAGTTTCAAATTACCGTTGGACACCCTGTTATTACTGTTCTGCCATTTCTTTAAGTTACTTTGTCAGGTCTGTTATATGTGTATGCCAATACATATGAATGTAGTTCATCGTATGTAATTATTACTTATACGAGTATTACAACTTTTACAATATTCTTATTTTCCACTTTCAATATCAACATTTCGTGTTGTTAATTCATTTTATGCTAGGGAACAACTTGCAGTAATACAATTCACAGGCACTGGCCTTTTCGCTTTTCTTGCTGCATCACGCACATTTGCTTTTATGCAGGTGGCCATTTTGTGGGCTTACTCAATGCGAAATTAACTTACTTTTAGTTGTAAGAGAAATTGAAATTTGCATAACATGAATGCATTCATTAAACAAAATCGTTCATTTATCATCATTACAAAAAATTTAACACTTTTCACATGGCTTTAATTCACTTTTCACAAAAATGTTGAAAGCAAAACGCTACGCGTATCTCTAACACAACTTAACCGATCGGATGCTAAAAGGAAACTAAGGAAATGACGCCGCAAACAGTCAGCTGGAACAGGAAGGGCAAGAGAGAGTGTCATTTAGCAAGTTCACGAACCCATTTTTATTTCTTCAATCAGCAATGTGCCTCCTACGTTATATATACATATATCTTTTTCACAGCCCTTTTAATTGTTTTAAATTTTGTGTGGCTTTATTAGAAAATATAAAAATAACAGCATTTAGTTTTGCGTTGTATTTGAAGTATTTTAGTGTAAGTATTTACACAAGCAAGAAACGTTATACATATACGACAATAGTGTATAATTACACCCTGTGAATTTGTTGAATTTTTATATGGCTCTTATTACATTTTTAGAGCCACTGGCAACACAGTTTGGTTCATGACTTAGATATAATATTACTGGAAACTACCTTTCTAAGCATTGAATATCCTATTCGTGCTTCTTTGTGTTTCATTTTCATTTCCATTTCCTCAGTTCCCCTTTGGCATCCGTCCGGTTTAGACGCGTTTTTTGTGTTGCGAAAAATGCCAATAGAAGAGTGAACATTTTAATTGAATTAAATTTGTTTAAAGTTTTGTATAAATGAAGTGGCGGTCATAAGTAAGCGAAGAGTTTTCAAGGAGCAGTGTTTGGAATAATAATAAAATCATGGAAGAGTGTTGAGTGAAGTGTGAAGATGGGTGCTAGAGACAGTTTTTGATCCTCGGGCCTTCATTCATTATTTAGTTTATTGCTGTTGCTGCGTTCATCTGTAAATACTTATGTGTGTATGTACATATGTATATGTAAGCGATTGCAATACTATTCGACAGGGAGAACTCAAAAATCGTTTTGTATTTGTAACGAAATCTGCGAAGCAGAGAAACAGCTGTGGTTCTAAGTGAAATTTTAATTGATAAACAAAATAAAATCATTTTTATTTCCGTTAACTATACTTTTCGTACGATCGGACAGTTAAAAATATTTGAACCGAATGAAATCAGAAGTTTTAATGAATTTGTGGCTCGAAAGCTAAATAAAAAACGAATTATTAAAAAATCTTTAACACAGGTTTAAAGTAATCGATAGAAGACCGAATAGTTTAAGAGCTACTTGCAAGGCAGAAACAAGGAACTTTTTGTGTTTTTTTTTTGGAAGAGGCATTTTATTTATAAAAGTCATACAAAAATGTGTTTTCACGGAATTTCATGTATCCTGGGAATGAGAAAGATTTTTCTGCTTACCATTATCTCAAAAGCAAAACAAAACAAAAAGACATATTATAACAATAGATTAATATTGGTAATGATCGAAGGACTAGTCAACATTTTGATTTTTGACAAAATGTCAGCTTTCAAAAAAGCTATTTTTTTGTGAAACAATTTACACTTTATAGTGGTTTAAGAAATCGATATTATTGTCGAAATCTTATTCCTTCTATCACTACTTAATAAATATATCTAAGAAGCTTGTGTGAATGTTTCATACCAATCGGTCCAGCCGTTTCGGATACATTTTGCTTATCGACCCAGAAAGTGTTTCAAGTTTAAGGTTTCGGTTATACGTAGGTACATTAAGTTAAAAAAATCGTATACGCTTTAATCTGCGAAACTATTTGCCGAAACAACTTAAAATTTTCGGAAAATATTCTCAAAAATATGTACATTCGATTTAAATGCAAATCGCGTTTGGAAAACTCACAAGCGGATATAACGCCTTAAATGAAAATGAAATCCGGGGAGTAAAAAATTAGCAAATATTCAATGTCTTTGAATTTTTCCTTTTGTACTACTTACGATTTTACAATTCATGGTGTCAATTGTAGTGAGACAAATAAACTCGAGTTTACGACTTCAAAGTCATTAAATTGCACCTTAGAACAATAACAATTAACAATAATAGCAAACTTGGTGGGAGTGTTTTGACATTTATAACTATATAATTAGACGACTTGAAAAATAACTAAGTAACCTAACTAAATACACGTAATGTTAATTGAATTCGACTAATTGAAATACGCAGAGTAAAGCACAAATTGGAGCGATTAAAAAGACATTTAAAATTAGCAGCGTACTATTCAAATTAACTTTAAGTTGAAAATGTCATCGTTTTCAAAATGCACTGACTACTAAAAATATAGACGACTTATTTGAACACGATACATAATTATTAAATATAAGTGTACATACGTACATGGGTGCTTCGAAGGTCACAGATGAAATCACCCCATAAGTCATAGCACTTTGCATCATGTCGCTGTAACGCGTTAATTCATCAAGCTGTTACTGCGCCGCGTTCCGAAAGCACGCTCACTGAATTTGCTGAAACTTTCGATGAGTAGTCTTTCGAAAGATATAGTCTACAATAATTACACTCATCAATTTTTGAAATCATTCATATAAGCAAAAATAAAGTTTCACATACACATACGAGTAATTAGATGACTAACAGACGATGCTAAATGTATAAAAAAAATTTCAGAAAGTTAGAAGTTAACTCATTTGTTTATAAAATTAATTGAGTCAGTCATGAAGCTTGCTAAGTTTGAAAATTAATTTTAATTTGTATACAAAAGTAATAATTACTAAGCTGATTTAATAAGCGGAAATTCTTTCCTCGCATGCGATATAAACTTACTGATACGGTAAGTGATTGTGTTGTAGACTTCCGAACTGAACTTTTCATTTTTGAATTTTCATTTAATATTGGCAAGATCCGTACTATAGGTGCTATTGCAAACTTATTATTTATTTGTGAAAATAAATAAATTTTTTTGTGTCGACAGCTGCAAATACCAGCAGCCTCTTTACCCGGTAACTTAATTACCTAGTCAAATGTGACTTGCGAAAATTTAGTTCCCACACTAGCATTTATGGGCAAAAGCCGGTAATAAAAAAATTCCATTTTAAAATGTTGCAGCAAGCAAATACTTCCAAAAACACCTGAGACAGTCAAAGGGATGTCGTTAAGTAGTTGAGTAAACACGAATTGCTTTGCATCGAGTGGGTGTTTTGCATAAACATTTACTTTACAGGTAAAAAAAAAATGTTATTAACAAATGTGCACATCAAAAGTGAGTAATTAAAATTACAACAAAAATACCGCGAAAGTATAAGCGCAAGCATTTAATCAACAACTAATTGAATGCATGTTCGGTTGAATCGAAGTAGTTTGACAGCGCAGTGATCTGATAAACATGACTCTACTCAATTATACGAAGCTTGCGCTTGTCTGCGAGTACATAGAAATTGAACCTTAAAAATAACAGCAAAACTGCGCAGGCGCATTTATGCCGGTCGAGATGATGGGCGCCCCGCATGACAGCCACCGAGCCATCAAATTCCAAGTGTCCATTTGAACTGACTGTGACAGCTGTGACTGATGAGGCTTCAGTGTGAGCGTTTCGCGTTTCAAAATATGAGTGTGTGTGTGGTTTTGTGAACTACAGGTGTCAGCACTCGTGCACATACCAATATTGTAGCGTAAATAATTTTGTATTTTTTTGTGTTTTTGCGTAAAATTACCTCATTTTGTTGTAGTTGTTTACAAATGATAGACTTTTTTGTGTGAATTTTTTGCGCTCGATCAAAAATAACAACATTTTCACAAGCAATTCGCTTAAAATAAGTAATGTATGCATTTATATATATTTACAGGTGCGCATATTTTGCATACTTTCCTGCTATTGACAATTATATACTTGTATTAATTTTTGAATTCAGAATTTTTTGCAAATGTGGCAATGCCGACTTTTTAATGTCGTTAGGGTGAAAAAAAATGTGTTGTTGCTAATATTTATAAGAACCGGTTTTTGCTGAAGAAGATTACTCCACTTGGTCATTTATTTCATAAAATAGGTTTTGAGGGAGATTTCTCCACTTAGAGTAGTATTTGAATATAGTTGTAGATGAAACCAGAGTTGTGAATAAGGTATTAAAATAATAATTTAATTAACGCAAGAGTTAAATTTTTTTTGTAATTCCGATTAGATGACGAATAAAACTAATGTTAAAATTTCTAAACCTGAATAACGGCTTAAAAAATAAAAAAAAAGTTTAATCACATAAATAAGCGTTTATTGTAAATCCTATACAACTGGTAAAATAAAAATAAAATATAATATTAATACCACATTTAACTAAAAATTAAAAAAATATATTATTTCAGTTTGGAATATGTAAACCTTTCACTTTTATCGCTTTTCATTTCAGCTTTTAATTTGAAAAATTTGGATTTTGTTATTAAAAATTTTAAATTTAGAATTTTAATGAAAATTTAGTTTTTAACGCCAAACATGTGGGAATATTTAGTCATAATTGCGGTTTTTAATTCTGAATTTTTGAGTTTTAATCAAAAATCTTCAAATAAAAAAATTCGCAATTCTGAAAACATTCTGCTGTTGCTCGAATGTCTTTTTCAATAATCGAGATTTATATTTGAAAAATATTAACCAGTTGCTGCTGTTCTGAAATCTTAAATATCAACAAATATCTTTCAAACATTTATGGTCAACTCAGAGCAATTTTTTTCATACAGCCTGATTTGTATTGCTCTTCCGGAAATGCCACTTACAAAATTAAAAATATGTTAAATACAATACATATTCATATAACACCTTCGAAAAACCCTGACGGAACTGCATTTTGGCACAAATTGTTTATCTGTTATTAGCGCCGAAAGCAAAAGTGAAGCGCTTAATTAGCGTGAGCTTGTCAAAAGGAGCCTCTGTGTTGTTTAAATTGTGCGGCGATTACTCATTAAAGCCGATTTTTCGTTGCTTGCACACACACATATGTATTTGCAGGCAAATAGCAGCACGCACCTGCGCTTTGCGAAAATTACTTTCGAACACACACACACACAGATACACGCACAAGTATGGGACCGCTGTCACTCACGGCAAATGATTAAAGCCACCCTCGAACTCGAGATTTGCGCTGGGTGGGCACAAATGCGGGCGCAATTGTTGTTATATGCTATATACTATATATTATATATATGTATATATACATATAAATATATATGTGCTATTTAAGTACACATGTAATTGCATATGCGCATGCGAACATCGACCGCTTTTAAGTACTTAATTTGAAATTATGCTCATATGATAAAGTGTTCTGTATTGTACTAGCTGTTGTTGTTGCTTGTAAAATTACAAACGCTGTACTAGGTGCTTAACTGTTTTCTGTTGTGTTCAAAGCATATAAAATTGTGTTTTTCCAAAGCAACAAAAAAACAAGCGTTTTCCTTAACCACTCAAACTTGTCGTGTTTCAAATATTTTAATGTGACTTTTGCCTTTGTGCGAACCGATCCATTGTTATACGTTCTATATGTGTTTTTGTTATTGTTATTGCGCGTAGCGTAGTTCAGTGCTAATTTCGATTATCTCGTATGAGCACATAGCGCACTCACATACCTATATACGAATATGTAATCACCTGTATGTACTCGTACATATGTATGCCTGTGTGTACTTTCATAGCTATGCATGTGTGCGAGTGTGTGTGTGTGTGGTTGTTGTTATCATCGGCACTTGTTGCTTTGGCAGCTGTTGACAACGCCACCGCCACCGCCTCGCGCTCATTGCTGCCGCATTGCCGCTTCAGTCGCGTCACTGTCGCGCGTGTGTGACGTTACAATTTCCCCCCTTTAACATAAAAGTAAAATTTGTTTAATGCGCTACAAATGCAAAGTAAAAATTTGTAATTTTATTTCATTTACTTTTGTTTTCCTCACACACTGCTTGTATAATCTGCCTTGCCTTTTTGTGCCATTTGTTCTTATGTGCAAAGTTGAGATTTGTATTTATTTGTAATTTGTGCTAACTGAAGTTGGAGGTTTTTCAGTAGTGTACGAGACGCGTTGCCAAACGTTGCGTGTCGCTTAGACAAATTGTGATTCCCTTCAATAAATAGCAAATAGAAATTTCCTTGATTAATTGAAGGGCGCATGGCATAATTGAAAGTGAACTGATGTTAAATAGTTTGAGAGCCGCTGTATGTGTACTTAAATAAAATTTTAAAATAAGAAAACAATTCGTTTTGGTGAAGAAAGTATAGATTCTGGATTAAAAAGTGTTACAAAGTGTCCTTGATTTTTAAAAATAGTAATTTTAATAAAAAAAATCTAAAATGGTGCCTAAAATATATTAAAAATACAAAAGTGAGGTGAAATTATTTTGCTGAAATTTAAAAATATTACACAGTGAAATTTGCAAAAAAAAAGTCAAGAAAAAAATTAAAAAATGTATTTGCATGCATAAATGTTTTTTTTTCTAAAAATACTAAATTCTTCAAGACTTTTAGGAAAAAAATTGTATCTTAAAAATTTCGAAGAGTTCGATTTTCAGTTACCAAATACCCACATATTATATATATGGTATATTGGAGAACTACAAAAATCCATGTGTCAGGATTAGAAAGACTCATTTAAAAAAAAAAAAACATTTTGGATGAAATTTAATTTTGAATACTATCAAAATATTCAGGCAGCTCTAGAGAAAAAATAATTTCGTGTTCTATAAATAAAAATGTATATATTTTAGAGAAAATTTGAGGTTTCTCAGTCTTCTTTGAATATTCACTGACTCTACTATGAGATACAATAAATAAGAAAATAAAGTTATAAACAAAAAATAAAGTTTAATATCTGAATAACAAATTTACAAATATATAAAATTGTACAAATAATTTTAAAGAAAAAAAAATTAACTACAAAAAAATTTTTTTTTTTGCCTTTGGAAAATACAGGGTATCAAAGAACATAAGTGATTAGTATAAATCGGTAAAATAAAACGGTTTGAAAATTGTCCTGAAAAACGAAAAACCAAAAATTAACATAAAAAGTGCTGAAAATTTAGGGATAAAGGAAGCTGCCTGAACTTAACAAAAAGAGAAAAATATGACGCATATAAATAAAAAACTTCTAGCACTGGTACATCTAATAGCAGTACAACTAATAGCGGTACATTTAATAGCGGTGCAGGCAGATCCGCAACTTGATTTGCCACCACTGAATCCCGACTCTCAAGGCCCCGAGCTATTATACAATTCGCTCACACCCAGAACGGCAGCGAGTCCGCTGCAAGCTTTGGGTGACTTTGATCGCAGCCAACGCTATGGACCACCCTATTCCAGCGAAGGGCTCAACGATGATGGCGCTGATGATTTTAGAGTAAATATAAGCAGATATTTATCTATATATGTATATTACATAAGCTAAGCTTCGCAATTCTCTCCACTCAATTTCACAGAATGGTCAAACTTATGATGAGCGCATGCGCTACGGTTACACCTACACAGCTAGAGCGCAGAATTTGTCTAGTGCCGCCGCTGATTCGCCCTTCAGTGACTACAACAGTAATAATGTAGGACTACAACAGCGCGACAATCCTCGTTATCCCAATCATAATTATGATAATCCCAGCGATCGTTTTAGCAATAACAATCGTTATGCCGATGGTTTCGATGATCGCCAGCGTGAACGTTACAATAACGATAATCCCGACCAAGCTCGTTTTAATAACCCAAATAATGATTATAATGGACGTTTCAATGGAAATCAGTCGCCAATTGGCGGCAACTTTGATCCGAATAGTCCGTTTAATTCAAACAATCCGTATGGTAATGATCGTAGCCGTTTTGATAATCCTTTTAGACCGAATCAAGATCGTTTCAATTTGAACAATGAGCGTTACTTCGAGAGACAACGCTTCCAACAGGATCGACGTTATCAAATAGAATTGGAGAAGCTGCGCAATCTTTTGGTGGAGACCGATCATAAGGGCTCGTTAGAGTGTACAGCGAATGTGGCCGCTCAGTGGAATTTCGAGACAAATGTGAACGAGCTAACACAGGCGGAAGCGGTAAGTGGCAGAACGAAGAGAAGAGGAGGGAGAGCGAATGGGAGATAGGTTAGAATGGAATTTAATTGAAAGGTAGATAAAAATGCACGGAAAATTGTGTGCGGGTATAGTTTTTTAATTGAAACTTGGCAGTTAATAATAATGAACTACAGGCTTTACAAGGTCATTCTCACAAAAGCCATTCGCTCAGCAAATGCAGTGTATAGAAGCCAAGTAAAAATCTGTCTGTTTTTCGTCTCTTGTTCATTTTATTTTTAGAAAATTTCTCAGCGACTTACATAGGTTTCAAATTTTTTGTTGTAATAATTTTCCCACAAAAAAGTCGCATGTTTTGTTTTTCCTTTTTTTCGCTTTCGTCGCATTCAACCAATAGGTTTTCTCACGTGCAACGCTGCCTCATTCACTCGGTAGTTGTGATTACTTTGAGTTTTATCCGTACGTGTTCGCATGTAATGCGGTCAAAGCGGCAGTCGGTCGTCAAGGTTCGACGTGTCTGACACGACGCACTTGTAGCCAAACATAATGCGGGCGTATGTGGGTGTCACTACAGATTCCACCTTGAACATTGAGAATTCAATGTCATATCAAACTGTCAGTTCCTTGCAAAACAAAACAAAACACGAATTGAAAACGTACTGCAAACCGAAATGATCACGTTCCAAAGCAAGGTTAAGGTTTGCTACAAAACTGTCTAAGGTTAGATATTGATAACGTCGATTTGTTTTTATATTGCCACCAGGTTTACTCGAGTTCTTTTTTAGCGATAATATATCTTAAGTTGTTTTATATTGAAGCTCTAATTATTTATCTTTAATACTGAAGGCTTTCAATTAATTGTTTCTCTTTCTACTAGTTCAATGCTCAACAAAATTATGTGGATTTCCTGCGCTTGGTAGCCGAACAATCGAAGAACATAAATAAAGATTTCATACTCGACCGGCGGCTATATCGACAGTTGATGTTGCAGTCCGAAGCCGGACCCAATGCTCTACCTATAGAGACTTTGGATCGTGTAAGTTGCCGAAACGAACGCTGTGAAGTCCGACTAATCATAATTTATTCCTTAGTATAATCGTCTAATCAATGAAATGCTATACATCTACAATGAGGCCACCATTTGCGCCTATCAACAGCCCTTCATTTGCAATCTGCGCTATATACCCGATCTGAAGGAGATCATGTCCAAAAGTCGTGACTGGGACGAACTGCAGCACACTTGGGTGGAGTATCATCGCAAGGCGGGACGAGAAATGCGCGATGGTTATGAGCAGTTAGTGGATGTGATGAATGAAGTGGCCTACGTTAATAGTACGTTGTTGTAATGCCACTAAGATATTATATTTTAAATAATACTATTCCTAACTGTTTTGTGTAGATGTCACAAATGGTGGTGAGTTTTGGTATCTGCCCTATGAGTCGGCCAACTTTCGTCAGGATGTTGAAAATGTATGGGAACAGATACGTCCACTGTACGAGGGTTTGCATTCGTACGTGCGCCGCAAGTTGCGCGATTACTACGGACCAAATCGCATTAACCGCATCGCACCAATACCCTCACATATTCTCGGCAATATGTATGCGCAATCGTGGTCGAACATTTTGGATATTGTTATACCATTTCCTGGTCGTAAATTGGTCGATGTAACGCCGCGTATGATTGAACAGGGCTATACACCGTTGCTAATGTTCCAATTGGCCGAGGAGTTTTTCACGTCAATTAACATGTCTGCTGTGGGCCCCGAGTTCTATACTAATTCTTTGCTCGAGCAACCGTTAGACGGACGTCGTGTATTTTGTGAGCCCTCCGCATGGGATTTCTGCAATCGGCATGATTTTCGCGTCAAAACTTGTTCGGAAATTAGTCAAAAGGGTTTGCTGAGCGCCCATCATGAGATGGCGCACATACAGTACTTTTTGCAATATCGCCATTTACCGAAGGTATTTCGCAATGGCGCCAACCCAGCTTTTCATCAGGCGATTGGCGATGCTATTATGTTATCTGTGTCGACCTCGAAACACTTTCAAACGATCGGCTTGTTACAACGCTCCGTAGATGAGTCGAGTTATGATATAAACTATCTTATCACGATGGCTTTGGATAAGGTGAGGCTTTAGAGGGAGAATAATAGAGAATAAATTAATTTACATTTATTTTTAAGAAACCTTGCTTGAGATATATTTTTGGTAAACTCAAGCTATTGTCATATATTGTTGCATACGTGAAATTCTCTCTCTCTCTCTCTCTCTCTCTTAGGTGGCTTTCTTACCTTTCGCTTTGGCTCTTGACAACTGGCGTTACGATATATTCAGCGGGAATACAAATAAACATACGATGAACTGCCACTACTGGAATCTTAGGTTAGTTTCAATAAAACATAATAAATTGTTTCATTCATGAATATTAAAATAAATAACTCTTATATTTGCAGAGAACGCTATGGTGGTATTAAACCACCAGTGCTTCGTTCGGAAAAAGACTTCGATTTGGGAGCAAAGTATCACATACCAGCAAATATACCATACATTAAGTGAGTAATAAAATTAAGATATATATTGTAATTGGGAGGAGTCCATCACATCTCCACTACATATAAATGTGTATTTTGAAGAGATAAGCTATTAACAAACTTTATATTCGCGTCATCGCTAATATCTTCGGATTTTTGTGCTTACGTTGTGCGTTAACCATTTCTAGGTTTTTACCCTTGAAATAAGACTGAAGCCTTTCGAGTTTCCGCTCTTATTATTTACTTTCTGCCAACACGCGGTATGTCCCATCAACTTTCATCTATACACACCCATACATCCATTAGTTGAGCATACTTTCCACATCGCTGCATTTGAAATTGAAAGTGGGAAATGTCAGCTGCCGTGTAATGTGATTCAGGTTTCCTTTGTGCGACTTTCTTTATTTCACGAAGTAGTTCATGTGTACTTTTGGTCATATTCGTTATGTTTATGAGAGTACAATGTGTGCCACTGTTACGTTTTCCTGAAAGAGTTGCTTTGTTATGATTTAATATTTCATTTTATTTTATTGTTGTTGGTTTTGCTTTGGTGTTTGTTGACTTGCTCAACATATACGTTGACTTTGGTGATCGCCTGTGGCCAGTGCTGCCAAAGTCGTCGGTTACTTTGACCCAGTAAACTGCTTTTCATGCTTCACCCATAATCAGCTGCAATATATTGTACTTGTATAACAACAAAACTATAACAACATATGTATATAAATGCTCATTCGTGCGGTCGTGTCTTAACGGCGACATTGCACATCGCCACTGTAAAAGCAGTGTCGGCTTTATGTGTGTTAGGAGGAGGAGGATGAGGAGCAGATGCTGTAATGAAAAAAAAAAAAATTTAAATGCATAAGTTGAATGAAAATGTGGGAACACTGTTGTGAAAAATATGTGGAAAGCTAGTAAAACATACCCATTTCGAAGCTGCAATCGCGGATGTCATTGACTGATACAATTTGTTGTGGCCGTCGTTATGTAATGTTGTTTGACTTGCGTAATGCAAGTTTGCGTGTTTGCGTGTGTCCGTAATGAAAGCGATTATGATTATATTAAATAATGTTATGTGCAAATATAATGATAATCATTTTGAAATTTAGCTTCTATTATATCCAAGCAAATTTTCATCCTTTACGTGCTTCAAAGTATATAGTTTTATGCAACTTGGTATTAAGTAGGCATTAGTAACTCTGTATGAATAAAATAAATAAGCACTTATTTATGTTAGCCATTGTAATTGACACTCGCAAGAACTATATACAAGTATGTACCAAATATCCATGTCCTTCTAGTTTTTTACCACTGAAAGAAGAGAATTTCGTTCTCCCATAGGTTAAGCGCCGAAAATCAGCACAGTTACCTCTTAAAAAGCTTACACACTTCCTAGAAGCTTGGCACACATTCTTGATCACACGATAACTTTACGTAGTAATTTAGTTGCTGTTGTTTTTTGACAATATTTCGGCATAGGCTTTGTTTTGGCGGACGAAAATATCAAACGAGTAATATTATCAAAAAACAGAAAAGCAAATGAAAACTATCGTGTTCTTTATTCTCTTGTTGCATGTTCGTTAATTATATTCCATTAGATTTTGCTATACATATTGTTAGTGATAGCATAAGTGACAAGTGACAGCTGACAAGACCTTCAAAGTCACCACGATCAGCACGCGTCAAATTAAACGGCACATCACTGAGCTGTCAAATGCCCAAAACTAATTAATTAGCAACTGTGAATTTACCGCAAACCACACCCGAAGAGGCACAGCTGAGCCAAATAAGTAGTAGCGGACACGTCCATTTGCTTCACTCACACGCTTGGCACTGAGGTGGGCCAAAAATAGTGTGGCGTTGCTGCCTGAATAAAGACCACCAAATTGACACATCCAGATATGTCTGGTAATCAGGTGCGTTTAATTCGTTTCAAGATATTATTTATATCAAACAGCGCTGTCAGCGGTGTTTCGCGCTGACGTTCGACGGTGTCAAAGGGATACAATACACATATGCGCACAAAAGTCTTGCCAACAATGGCCAACTGCGAACGCAATTAACCCAGTTTTTTGGAACATTGTTGGATGCTATTCGGACTATTGTGAAGGAGAATCGGCCAACGCAAACGTAAACAAGCAACCACTAAAGACACTTTTATTTCTAAAGCAACAATAGTAACAACCTTTCCAGCTTTACCACCAATAACAAGCCAAACAAAGTAACATATGAAAAATGAAGAAAAAAATTGTAAAGCTAAAATTTGCATAATTTTTTTTGGAGCCATTTAAAAATGACAGTCTGATAACGAATCGCGTTTTATGCGCAATTATTGTGATTGAATTCGTAATGTGGATGTGCGAGAAGAAGTGTTGGCCATTAACTTTGTCAGAGATGTGGTGACAATAAAAACAGCCGAGAAACACTCGACTAAATTGGCAAGTAACTGGCTGCGCGCTAAGCAAGTAGTCGGTTATTATGTAATAGCATAAACACAGCAGGTGGTAATACACACGCTATGACCATATACTATAATTAACGGAACAAGTGTTGAAATGTTGAGTTTATGTTGTTTGTACTTTCATGTGTTTGTGGGAATGCTGCCAAATTGTAAAATTTAAATATGTAAGTAAGTAATGTGGAGTAAATACTCAGGTGGCCTGGAATATTGTAAACAACTCAGGCGAATGTTGCAATGGATAGCAAACTGGCTGCATAAATTAATAGAGCTTCATGAGAAATGTGCTTGCTTTAATTAAGAAATGATATAAATATATGAGTACATAATACCATAAATAAATAAGAAAATCAGCGTAAAGAAATAATTGGTAAAAATAATATTTTATCTCGTTTAAATCAATTATTTGCAATTAATAATATTTCTTTTAATTGAAAATATAAACTACACTCAATTTTGCGTTTAAAATTCGCTTGAAAAACCGAAAATTAATTTGCAAATTAAAGCTGCGATTACAGTCTGGCTTCGCGCGCTCAGTAATTGATCATTCAATGCAATGCGTCATTGCCACATGCAGCTCGACTCGTATTAGTGCACAGAAACTCATTAAAACTAAGTCAAGAAACGACCAAAAAGCTATGCAGTGCAATCACTATTAAATGTTGCAACACCTGAAATCAATTGTTGCCGACACTCAAAGTGATTGCATCTAGAAAATACTGTTGCAACATAACTCACGCCACAGTAACAACAATAGCAATAACAGTGCCTAAAATAAGCGCGCTGATTCGCGGACTTGTTGGCTTCATTTTTCATTGGTGCCAAATAAACTCTATAGGAAAGCGTTATTGCCACATTATGTGGTATGGTACCGTTATGGATATACGAGTATGTGGGTGTGTACTTGCCTGTATACAAAGCACTTGGCGCCCTTGTAACAGCAACGGAAAGCATAGGTATTATCACATATTAGTTTAAAGGCAGCGAAAAGTGGGGTTATGGAAGAGTTCTTGGCTAATGTTGCTTAAAAATTTGGTTTAAATAAGAACGTATGCTTAATTCAGCTAAGAGAATCATATATTATACAATATTTCTTTAAGATTCATGGCAGAAATTATGTACATGATATGAAATTATGTGATTTGTTACGATGTGTTTTTTTACAAAACAATAGCCCGTGGTATTATGAAAATCAGTAGATCTGATGCTGGAAGCAATTTCTGAAGACACGAAGCGATCCTACGTATGTATATATATATATGATCCAATGTCTGAATGTGATTTTGAAGTATTTTAAGTTGTATTGTAAGGAAATATGTATGTATATGCGTTTCATTAGAGCTGTAGGAAGGAATCGAGCTTAAGGAGCAACAGCCGACCAAATATTAAGGCAATTATTACTTTTTTTTGTATTTCAAGAGTAAAAGTTGCGTAATTTTAGAATTTTTTCTTGTAAAGTTTTGCGAACCTTTTTTAAAACTCAAATCAATAAAGTGGAACTCATTTGTTTGGGTTTTTAGTTCGAATAATTGATTTATTTCACATTTCAACATTACATCAACAACTTACACATTTTATACATTTAATCAGTTATTTGGTAGTAGTAAAGAGTATGTTTTTTGTTTTTTTTTTTTATAAAATTTTTCGTTACATATTTTTTGTAATTTTCGCTATATATTTTGCCTTAGGTTTTCATTTTTTTAAAAATCGTATAAAAATTCATAAACTAAATAAAAAAAAAAATTAATAAAAAATAATAATACAATACGGTCACACTAACTCACTCAGGAGCATTACTTAAACTAATTTTTTGTTTCTCGCTTTTAACATGTGCTTTGCGTAGCGTTTGCGATTATCGTAGAATAGAGTAGAGTATGTAAATATATAGTAAGAAGTAGGTATGTAAGTTTTAATTGCATTTGCATATAAGAATATTGTCTCTTTAAATGTCTGCAGGTATGTGTTGCATACTTAATGATGTAATATGTAGTTAGCGAGCTACTAAAAATATATATTGCATTATTACAGCACGATTAACACTATTACTTTACTAAGAGAATTGATTATACTCATATACATATTTACATAGACATGTACTTTGACATGCGCTTAGTATTGAAGCGAATCTCATAGTGGATTACCTGCAAGTTTCTTAAGCAATCGCCTTAGCTAATGCCAATTGCTTACATATATCGTTACATATACAGATATATACTCATGCTAGCATATATATTTCCTCCAATGGGAGTAAATCAACGCAAAACAACAACAAGATCATTTGTCATTCATCACTTAACTCGAAGTCGAACGCCACCGGCAAGGCATCGCTTGGAAATCCAGCTCCGAAAGTCCATGTGCAAGCGTGTAGGTAGCAAGCAAGCGTCTTTGAACTGTGTTTCCAAATCGATCGCGTTGTGCTGGTGGTGCGCGGAGGACGCGATTGGCCATGTCACAGGAACCCCACCCTGTTGGACGTGTCTCAACGGCGCCAAATATCACTGTTGGTCGGAATACTGTGTTATATATTCCTTTGTACAACTTGAAAACTACTTAAAAAACACTTAAA